CTCGAAAAATGTATAATTATTCATAAAATTGTTATTAAAATTCGTCAAAGAATTCAATTATTTAAAAATTTGTTTTGATAAAAGTATGTATAAGAATTCAATTTTAAGAAACATTCAATTATTCAATAAATTATTTATGTTTATATTTAAATAATTGAATTCTCGTAGAATCTTCTAATAAAAGTTGATTTAAAAATTAAATTCAGTTAAAGTTTTAGATAATAATTGAATTTTAGAAAAGTTACTAATAATTGAAATGTTTAGAAATAATTGAATTTTGTAAAGGTTTCAAATTAAAATCTTTGAAAATTTGAATTTTTTATACTTTTAATTAAAAATTCTATAGAACTAATTTTTTTCAAAAAGCTTAATTGAAACTTTTTAAAATTATTTCAAGTTTATATTTTCTAATGTATATTTAATTGAAGAATTTTATAATAATTGAAATTTCACGTAAAATTGAATTGTCAAAAAATGGATTTAATAATTCTCAAAGAAGAACTTTTTCAAAAATTATTAAAAATAATTGATTTAAAGAAGAATTTTATTTAAAAATTGTAGAAAATAATAATTGAATTCAAATGAGGAAAATAATTTTGAAGAAGTTACAGTAACAATATTCTTATATATATTATAATATAAAATAATGATTTTATCACTCAGTCATCTTTAATTATTATAATTTTCTGAATTTTAAAAAGGTTTAAATTTTGAATGTTTTGAAAATCTTAATTCCTATGAAAAAATAATAATGATTAAATATTTATTTTAAAATCAAGTTATTGGTGTTTTTGAATAATTTTACAATAGAAGAAATTCGTAAATAAATCTAATAAAACAATTTTTTTGAGTATCTTATCATTTTTAGAGTGAATCAGAATATTATTTAGGGTCAGGGAAAGAGTCAAAATTTTGTCTGGAAATCAGGGAAAAGTCAGGTAGAAACAAAATTAAATTTTTATGGCAACCCTGATTATCACAGAAAAAACTTGAACTTATTTTTATTGCATCTCAAAATGAGTCTATGTTAAATGAAACAGAACGTGGCACCCTCAGTCTTACTCATTTTTCATTCGTATCAAATTGAGTCAGATTCTTACTTAATTTGAGATCGAGTTTTTTTCAGATTATCATGATAAATTCTAATTTTTTATGCATATAAAATTGAGTCAGATTCTTATTTAATTTGAGATCGAATTTTTTTTTAGATTATCATGATAAAAAATTAGTCCTCAAATGTTGATATGGCAACAAAATGCAAGGATGGAACAAAAGAATTATAGAGAATTGAAGAAAACAAAAAAAAAGTACAAAAAATACGTGTGGGGTCATTTCGAATATAAAAAGGGTGGAAAATGGATGAAAAAACACAATAGGGGGAATACAACTGGCACACCTATGTCATTAGGTCGATGACTTGAATGCGATCGCCATCATTTCGCGGTGGAGGGTTGAATTATAAGGGCCGACCCTGCGAGGGGTATGTCAGAAATGGGGGCTTTTATAGGTTAAACGCAGTATGCGGGATCAAAAACGGTTTTTGCATGAGGGGAACACGAGGGTTCATTTTCATATCGTTATATTTCATTACCTTTTTTTTCATACCAGCGTCACTAACTCGCGCCTTCAACCCCTCTATTTCCCATTGAACGCGATGCGGGAATCCAATCGTCACTCCGAATATAAAAAGGGGTCAAAAGAGATGTATGTGGTCTGCCGCCACTCACAACTCTCTACAATAATTTCTTGTGGCAAACTTCGCGAGACTTTAATATTTTTGAAAATTAAAAGAATGAGGATAAGGGTTTGGTTCACGACAATCGACACAAGGTGTTAATGAACGAAATCTTCACGTATCAGAAGATAATTTTACCTATAGTTTTAATTAAATGAGCAGTTGCGATAAAATTGATAGATGATATGGAGAAGATTGAGCGAACTTACTAAATGATGATCATTGAATATAGCAGCGCAAATTTTCTCCTATAAATGATATTCCTAGTGATGGGAACAAAGAGACAATAAAACAAAAATAATTAAAAAGTAAATATTTAATTAACGTGTGAATTTGAAAGGCCTATCTCAAAATTTTTTCAATTCTTTTATTGCATTCGTTTGTCCACGATCAGTCCACCTTGGTCCATCAAAAATTTTTATTTGTCCACCTTTCGTTAACAAGAAAAATAAGAAAAACGTCTTTTTGAAGTTGAGAACCTCTAAAACTTTAAAAAACGCTAAGTTAACTGTTCCACCTATACTAATCGTTTGTCCAGGGTAAGTCCACGTTTGTCCAACAAACAATTCCCTTCTGTTATCATATTCACTAAAAAAAAATTTTCTCAACCCTTAACAATTTTTTAAGTCAATTCCACCTATTTGCAATTTTCAAGGTTGGACAATTAATTTCAAAAGTTGGACAATCAAAAACTGACCCTTAACAATTTTTTAAGTCAATTTTTTTTAGACAATCAACGTCCCAGAAATCTTGAATCAAATAGTTTACACTTTTTTTCAATTTCCAAGGTTGGACAATTATTTTTAATGATTTTCAAAAGTTAGACAATCCAAAACTGACCCTTAACTATTTTTTAAGTCAATTTTTCAGACAGTTAACGTCTAGAAATCTTAAATCAAACCGATTCCACTTTTTTGCAAGTTTCAAGATTGAACAATCATTTTTAATAGTTGGACAATCAAAAACAAACCCTTAGCAATTTTTAAGACAACTTTTTAGACAGTCTACGTCTTGGTAAAGTTAAATCAATCAATTTCCGCTTTTTTTGCAAGTTTCAAGGTTGGACAAATATTTTTTATGGTTGGACAATCAATTTCAAAAGATGCACAATCAAAATCTGACCTTTAACAATTTTTTAAGTCAATTTTTAGGACAGTAAACGTCAAGGAAATCTTAAATTAAACTGATTCCACTTTTTTGCAAGTTTTAAGGTTGGACAATTATGTTTAATAGTTGGACAATCGATTTCAAAAGATGGACAATCAAAAACAAACCTTAACAATCTTTTAGACAGTCTACTTTAAGGAAAGATTAAATCAATCAGATGACACTCTTTTGCAAGCTACAAGGTTGGACAATCATTTTTATTGACTGGACAATCAATTTGAAGAGTTGAACAATCAGTTTGAAAAGTTGGGAAATCAAAATCAGACCCTTAACCTTTGTGGAAGTCAATTTTTTAGACAGTTTACGTTAAGCAAATCTTAAATTTGCTTAAACAGATTTCACTTTTTTGCAAATTTTAAGATTGGACGTTCATTTTTAATGATTGGACAATTAATTTCAAGAGTTGGACAATCAAAAACAAACCCTTAACAATTTTCAATACAATTTTTTTAGACAGTCTACGTCAAGGAAATCTTAAATCAAACAGATTCCACTTTTTTGTAATTTTCAAGGTTCGACAATTATTTTTAATGGTTAGACAATTAATTTCAAAAGTTGGACAATCAAAACTAGACTCTTAACAAATTTTTAAGGCATTTTCTTGGACAGTCTACGTCACGGAATATTTAAATCAATCAGATTCCACTTTTTAGCAAGTTTCAAATTAAACAATTATTTTTTACGGTTGGACAACTGATTTCATCAGTTGAACAATCAATTTAAAGAGTTGGACAATCATTCTTAATGTCTGGACAATCAATTGTAAAAGCTGGACAGTCAAAAACAGATACACAACAATTTTTTAAGTCAATTTTTTAAATTAATCATATTCCACTTTTTTGCAAGTTTCAAGCTTGGCCAATTATTTTTAATATTTCGACAATTAATTTAAAAAGTTGGGTAATCAAAACAGATTCTTAACAATTTTTGAGTCAATTTTTTAGACAGTGTTGTTCTTATAGAACATGTTAAACATTAAAAAAATTTGCAAAAAGCGATCTGAACTTGAATTATTTAAATTGATTGTCCAACTATTAATAAGGATTGTCTAACCCTTAAAATTTCAAAAAACTAGATTCTGTAATACCTAAATTTTTCTAGACATTTACTGTTAAAAAAGTGGACTACAATAATCTTAACGTCCGTTGTTCATATTCCAACCTTTTCAGAGAATTGTCCAACAATTAAAAATGATTTTACAACTTTGAAGCTTGTAAAAAGTGGATTCTGTTTGACTAAAACTTTCCTAAACGTTCACTGTTAAAAAATTGTCTTAAAAATTGTTAAGTGTTTGTTTTTGATTGTCCAACTTTTGAAATTGATTGTCCAACCATTAAAAATAATTGTCTAACCTTGAAAAATGCAAAAAAGTGGAATCTGTTTTATTTAAGATTTCTGGGACGTTGACTGTAAAAAAATTGACTTAAAAAATAGTTAAGGGTCAGTTTTTGATTGGCCAACTTTTGAAAATCATTAAAAATAATTGTCCAACCTTGAAAATTTGCATAAAAGTGGAATCTGTTGGATTTAAGATTTCTGGGATGTTGACTGTCTAAAAATTTTAGTGAATATGATAACAGAAGGGAATTGTTTGTTGGACAAACGTGGACTAACTATGGACAAACGATTAGTGTAGGTGGAACAGGTAAATTAGCGTTTTTTTAAATTTTAGTGGTCTCCAACTTCAAAAAGACGTTTCTTTTATTTTTCTTGTTAACGAAAGGTGGACAAATAAACATTTTTGTTGGACAAACGAATGCAATAAAAAAATTGAAAAAATTTTGAGATGGGGCTCTTAACTTCACACAGCTCAAATACACGCGTTATTTTCCGTTTACAGAAAGAGATCTCGCTGATCTCTTCGGTGTACGAAGACACGGTTCTCTCTGATGGGAATTTTCACGTAATCGTCATCGTAACCATAAGGCCATTCGTCTTTGGTCCGATGACACCCGAATTTATAATTCTTTTTAAGTAGCTTTAGGCTAACACCTAGCGCGATAAATTATGAATTGGGGAAACAATCAGAAAATGAAACATATTTAAAGAAAAGTAAGAAAGCGATTTGGATTGTTACATTCTTTTTCTTTGCTTTCAGATATCAGATGATGTCAACGAGGATGCAGTGAGAAGAGTGTTTGTAGTTTTGGAGAGTATCAATTTTGAGGAAAAAGAAAACTGATGGCAACCGCAACAATGGGTTTGCGACGACGAGTTACCGTGAATAACTCACCCACGCCAATTCAATCATCCGCCTCGACATCCAACAAACGCTCGCGGTCTGAGAACAACAACAGTCCCTCGCAGGGGAATCTTAATTCAATGAGCTCCCGCGATGAGCCGCCGGCGAAAAAGTCACGAGGCACATCGACGGCGAAGAGTGCCGAGGGTGGTGGACACTCGACAAAAAGCCGGGCAATGTCAAAGGGAAAGAATTGCCCGGCAACATCGTCAGCGCTGATGAATCTCGAGAGCGCTAATGTCCATCCAACGACCTCCTGGCCGACCACATCGTCAATGCCGGATCCAGTGTCCTATGCCGGTGTGACGGGCTTGAACGTGACAGGTGGTCAGGCCGGTCTCTGCGCCGGAAACCTCGGTATGCCATCGCCAATTCCATACATGGCAACGTCGATGGCGACCTTTGTCGGGAACGCGACAAATCTCGGCAAGAGCTCATCAGTATCGTACCTTGACATTTCCAACATGACCAGTGGATCGCTCGGCTCAAATGCCGCAGGTGCTCTCAATTCCGGCTACATGAATAACATGAAATCCGTCAACACTACTCCTCACGAGGTGAAAAATTGCACCTACACCAATATGACACCGCCAACGAATTCTAGTGGCCCTTTTAAAAATTCAACTCGCAGCCAAACCGCATTGGTTGTTGAGCAAGTGAATTTGCCGAAAAAATTTCAAAATGACTCAATGTACGAGACTTATCAGCCGTGGGTTATTAAAACTTATGGCGATTTGGCAAAGACTAAGACAATAACGATTAAAAAATATGCGCGTATATTGAGAACATTGCGTGGTGAGGAGGTCAATAGTGCTGAGAATAGCAAATTTCGTTTCTGGGTTAAGAGCAAGGGCTTCCATATCGGCCAACCGGAAGGATACGACGCAAAGCCGGCAGATCGGATTATTGGACGACATGCCGTCACTAGTCCCGGACTTGATCCGCCGCTCTATGTTCCCACGCAGCCGCCTCACAATAAGGTGAGTTTTTACTTTTTTTTTAATATATTAAACAACTGTTTAATTTAAAACAAATATTTTCAATGAATCGTCCATTTTTTAAAACTGATTAATTCCTTCAAACTTCTAGAAAAATTGTCCGCAAAGTGGTGGTAACCCTTTCGTGCCTCCGGGACATTATGTCCCACTTAGAAAAATTTATATTATTTATTATAAAAGTCAACCAATTAATTTGCGGTAAATTTCTTTCTATTCCGAATGTCCGCTGCTACAATTAAAAAAAATTGATAAATTACGTAGTACGATTATAATTATTATAAACAATAGGTAAAATATTTATAAGAAAATAACGAAATCTAATTTTCTGTCCCACTTAGAAAAATTTATGTTATTCTTATAAAAGTCAACCAATTAATTTGCGGTAAATTTCTTTCTATTCCGAATGGCTGCTGCTACAATTAAAAAAATAATAAATTACGTAGTACGATAATAATTATTATAAACAATAGGTGAAATATTTATAAGAAAATAGCGAAATCTAATTTCTCAAAATTTCCTCAAATTCGCTTAAAACTTCTTACTCAGGGGTTTTCGGGATCGATGATTACGAATCTAAAGTCAGATTTTCAAAAATCAAAATGTTGGACATTTTTTTCAAATCTGCTGAAAAATTCGCTTAAAACTTGTTATTCGAAGGTTTTCGGTGTCACCATTTCGAAATTTTTAAATCTGACTTTAGATTCGTAATCAGAGACACCAAAAACCCCCGAGTAACAAGTTTTATGTAAAATTTAAGCAATCTTGAAATTAATGTCCGCCATATTGGATCCGCCATTTTGAATTTTAAAAATTTTGAACATTTGACTTCAGATTCGTAATTAGCGACCCTAAAAACCCCTAAAACTTAGTAGGAATTTTTTCAAGAAGTTTTGGGTAAAACTACCAAAAACTTTCTGTATTTTTACCCAGAAATTCTTTGTGTAAATTACTTCCAAAACATTTTTGGTAAAATTACCACAAAAATTTTTTACAGTGAATTTTCTCGGTGGCACGATAGGATTAAATTCTCCTTTTAAATTCCGATGGGTATACTAATTTCCGTTCGTTGGGATTTCCACTGGAATTCTAACAGACTTCCGATCGGATTTGAATAAAATTCCAATTAAAGTCGGAAATTCCACTGAATTCAAAGGGAAAATATTCTTGTAATTCCGATGGAATCTCAAGAGACAAGGGCACTTTCCTGATAAGCCTTTCAAGTGCGGACTTGAATTTCAGTCAATTTTCAAAATTATTATTCTAAAGGGTTGATTACGTAAATCTAACTTTTGTTTATTTCACATTCAATAGTTTTCGTAGAATTTTCAAATTAAGCCATTTTTTGTAACTATCGTTGATTTCGAAATAAAAGTTGCTGAAAAAAGAGACCTAAAAGTTTAAATAACAATATCTAGCAAAATAATCGAAATTTTTCAAAACAATTTTTTACAACTTTATGTATGTCACCTAGGACTACAAAATGGCAAATTATAAAGAAAATCTGAAATTCAAAGTTAAATTCGCATGTTTATGAATTTATAAAAAATCGCTCAAAAGAAAAAGACTAGATTTTCTATATTTTTAAAATATCAATAATTTTAAAACAGTTTACCTTAAAAGTTCCACAAATAGGCAAATATGAACGTTTTTAAAGCACTCATCTGAAATATAAAGTATTTTCAATTTAATTATTTGGAAAAAATTCAGTATTAAAAAAAATGTAAAATAAAAAAGTGAAGTCAAAACTAATCAATCAGTTTCACAGTATTTAAAAAAAAATTTTTTTCATTAATTTCTTGTGTGACTGTTATATTTGACCTATTTTTGAAAGTTTTTAGTGCACTTGAAACTTGAAAGTTAGGAATAAATGAAGCTTTTTACACCGAATAGAATTTTCCTGATCCAATAAAGAGTCCAATAAAGAATATAGTAAGAATTCTTTTTTAAAATTTGTTATTTTCAAACTTGAAATGTTAAACATTACTATGTTTAACATAATTACTTTTTCGAATATTTTTCGTTTCTTTTTTCATCTTTTTTTGCTATTTAATTTTTTCACCCTATAACGTTGAAAGATAAAAAAATATCTAACAAGCACTATTTCAAATAAAATTTCTTAAAAAATGATGTTTCATTGTATTTTTTTTATCTTTTTAATCAAAATAATAGATTTATTGATTGGAGAGATAAAAAAACATGAAACACGAATTATTGTTGAAAAATAATAGAAAATAATTTTTTAACGTATTCTAAATATTTTACACCAATAAATTTTGTAATGTGTTATAAAAAAGGTAAAAACTTGTTTTCAGTTAGGAAATAAAATTTTTTTTTCAAAATTTGATGGTAAATTACAATAGAAATAAAATATATAATAGAAATTTTATACATAAATCAATTTGTAAAAACGATTTTTTTTTCGGAAACATTACAATTTTTAAATTTACAGCCTACGGGGCATTCAAATATTGAAAAAAATCAAAAAATATTTTGTGATATATTTTAGTAGCTACAATTGATGAATTTTTTAAAGTACCTTAGCATTGTTATTTTTTGCTTTATAGCAATTAAAAGAAAAGAATTTTTTTCTAAACATTTTCAATCTCTGATGCGATTAAACTTGTTGATATTTATTGATAGTTTAAAATAGCATCGATATGTGTGATAAATATTAAATATTTGTTAATCCATCGATAGCGATTAAATCGTGTTGATTTTAAAAAGAATCCACTTATAGGATGATATACTTGATAATGTGGGTTAACGACAGTGCAGAGCATACGGTTAGAGTGTCACTGGAATCCCTCTCTCGACTTGGACAAAGCGATTAGTTCCAAGCGATCGCGTTCGATCCACGGGAAAAGTCGAAGAGTCGTTTCGAAAATAAAAAAAAAGGAAGGGAAAAAAGAGCAGGAAAAAGAGAAGAACGTTTATATAGGGTATTGGAAGCTTTGGGGAATTCTCAAGACGACGTTGTATATCTTGCATTCCCCAGGGGAATCCATATCTCTTTCCTTTTCCGAGGATTCTCTTCCCCCTTCACATCGTCGTCGTTGCCCACAACGATAGCCAACTTCCATATAGTGATGTAAGCCTCAAGAACGAGGCCTCTGAGAATCACTCTGGCCCCTCGTTAATAAACGATCCTACATATCATCAAAGTAATATAAAAAAGTAACTTGAAGATTTCGCAATAATTGGCAAAATTAGTCATTTGGATCGTGATATATAAAGTTTCTATAGTGGTGTACTTCGAAAAACTTGTTAGTTTTTACGAATATTTGGTTTTGAAAACATTTCCTGATGGAAATACAAAAAATATCTTAAGATAGGATGAGGATTGAGTTATCTGTAACTATTAAAATTTCCCAACTTCTGTTATTTACTTATTCTAACTTATTCCTATACTTGATTTCGTACTTTCTACATCTTACTTCACTATATTCATCATAGTCGCCATATTGAATCAGCCATCTTGAATTTTGCAATTCTGAGTTCAGATTTGTGATCCTCGAGTAATTAATATCCAAAAGCTGAATCTGGCATCCACTTATCACCACCCACTTAATTTTGAAATTTAATTTTAAAGTTAGACATTTACTCCAAGGATAACTCAAAACTACCCCAAGGCTCGCTTAATGCTCCGGGCTCAGTTAATGCTCAGGAGTTGTTTGAAGCTAACAACTCTTCTAAGACTTATAAGACTGAACTAAATTATAAGACTCGCTTAAGGCTCAAGAATTGTTTGGAACTAAAAACTCGTCTAAAACTTAAGACATAAGGCTCCTTAAGGCTCAAGGCTTGTCTGAAGCTAAAAACTCGTCTGAGGCTTAAGACTGAAATAAGACTTTTAAGACTCTCTTAAGGCTTAAGACTCATTTTAAGCTCAAATCTTATTTGAAGCTAAAAACTCGTCTAAAACAAAAGACTGAACTTAGAAATAAGTCTCGCTTAAGGCTCATTGCTTATGCTTTAAGCTAAAAACTCGTCTAAGACTCAATACTGTACTAAGACTTTTAAAACTCGCTTAAGACTTAAGGGTCACTTTAGGCTCAAGGCTTATTTAAAACTAAAAATTCGTCTAAGACTTAAGACTGAAGTAAGAGATGATGCACGCTTAAGACTTAAGGCTTACTTAAGGCTGAACTTTTTTTGAAGCTAAAATCACGTCTAAAATAAAACATTCGTCTAAGGCTTTAGACTTGCTTAAGGCTCAAGAGTTGTTTGACCCTGAAAGCTCTTCTAAGATTTAAGATTGTTCTGAAATGTAAAACTAGCTCAAGACTTGTTTGAAGATTAAACTTTGCTTATGACCTTACATTGCTCTAAAACCTGTCTTGAGATTTAGACAAGCCTCAAAGCATTAAAGGCTTTTAAGTCCTACACGAGATTTTAGCTTGAATCAAGTCTTGGCCCATAAGTGTGCTAAGACTCGCTTAAAGCTCAAGCCTTAAGTCTTAGACGCATTTTTAGCTTCAAACAAGTCTTTAGCCTTAAATAAGCCTTGAGCCTTTGTCAAGTCTTGAGTTGTAGACCAATCTTAAGTATTAGATAAGTTTTTATAGCTTCAAACAAGTCCTGAGCTTTAAGCCATCCCTATGTTTTAATTCAGTCTTAAGTCTTAGACGAATTGTTAGCTTCAAACAAGTCATGAGCTTTAAACTGTGCCTTGAGCCTTAGTCAAGTCTGGAGTTGTAGACCAAACTTATGCATTAGACGAGTTTTTAGCTTCAAATAAGTCCTGAACTTTAAGCGAGCATTATGTTTTAGTTTAGTCTTGTCTGAGACGAGTTTTTAGTTTTAAACAAGTCTTGAAACTTAAGCGAGTTTTGAAGGCTTAGTCTTAAGCCTTAGATGAGTTTTTAGCTTCAGACAAGTCTTGAGCCTCAGCCTTAAGTGAGTCTTAAAAGTCTTAGTTCGGTCTTAAGTCTTAGACGAGCCTAACCTTCAAACAAGTCTTGAGCTTTAAGTGAGCCATGAGC